TCTCACTACTATTAAATGCCACTTAGTGGTGGGTAATTTCTCTCTCCTACTGGTTATTCTCCAGTTTTCTTAAATGGATAGCATAAATGCATCCAAGACAACTTGATCTAGCCCAGGTCCCTTTCTTATCCAACTCCAAACCAGTCTCCTGTTCTCGCTTTCCTCCTTGGGGTTCAGGCCTCCTCCTGAAGCAGGGGTCCAACACGATGCCTAGTGCCGGGGTCCCCTAACTCAGGAACCTCAGTGAGCAGTGTTCAATAAGTTCCCACCCCTGCCCCCTGGGCACATGCCTTATTAAGCAGGCAGTAAATGTCTTCCACACAACCTGGATGTAGTAGTACCCAGAACATAAGCAGGGGGATCCAGATGGGAGTGAGTTTGGGGGAAAGAAATGTCAGGGAGGTAGGGAGGAAAAACTTAAGGAAAACATGGAATATTCCTGAGGTAAGATTCAGCCAGACTGATTTTAAGAAGGGAACCTCAGATGGGGAATGGATTGGGGTTGGGCAGAGATTGGCTCTCAAGTCACTCCACGTGAGGAAGGGGGGTCTGGACAAGGCAGTTCAAGGCCTGGGATTTGGCAGGGGTTCCAGGCAGCCTTGTCTTCAAGATGCAAGGCAGAGCAAACGCCAGACTGGGAGTCAGGAAATACAAGTTCTGATCCTGGATGTACCCTTCCCATTCCCCACCACCGCCATGAACTGCTGTATTTCTCCAAGTTTCTGCCTTCTCACTAGTGAAATGGAATCATCTCCCCACAGTGCTCCATGGCTCCAGGCTTATGTATTCGGGAATCTCCAAGTTTTCCAAGGAAGTTCTCAATTAGCGTTTTCATTCAATAACAACAACAACCAAAAAAAAAAAAAAAACCCGAAACTAAGGTAAACCATTTTCGCATCACCTTGTAAACAGTGCTGACACACGCTTTCAGTTCCTCCAACTCTGGTGCCAGCATTTGTATTTGTTAACAACTTCTTTGACACCAATCTATACTACTTTCATTGTCTTGGTCTAATAAGCAAAGAATGGAAATTCACTTAATGTGTGAAGGAGGTGCTAGATCTAAATGAAGGCCAAGTGTATCACAGGAAAAGTTTTGGATGTTTAATGAGGGAAATTTAGGCTGCCAAATCAAATAATCACTTAGAAGACAGTAAAGGAGTCTCACAACTATTGCCAGACAAGCCTCATAGCCACCAAGAGCAATGCTTTCATTTAAGCAAAATAAAGTCTTGTGATGAGTACTTTAGACCTGAATTGATTTTAGTTTTGTTTGTGCTTAATCTCAACTTTTGTTGTTGCCTCTGTGTGCATCGAGAGGCATTTAAACTAGTTTAGTATTTATATGTACGGAATATGTTTTAAGACGCGGCGTTGGAACAGGTTTTCCTTTAAGAAGAATGGGTACATTATTCAAGGTTGAGAAACATGTGCTAGAAGATGTCCCTTCAAGCTCCAACATGCATTCCAGCGCTCTGGTTCAACCACTTTGTGCTCTGGTTTGGATATCTCAGCAGGTCCTTCCCATCAGTACTTAGGACAAAATCTCAGATCTTTAACATGGCCTGATGCCCCTTGGGATCTGTCCTGGACACTCTCATTCCTTATCCAGACGTCTCTGGACTACTGCATACCCTGCCCTTGGCCCTGCGCCCGCTGCTTGCTGCCCCTCCCTTAGCCAACTCCTCCTGAGCCTTCTGGTCTCTGAAAATCACTTCCCACCAGACAAGAGTGGGCTTTCTTGTTACAGCAGTCTATAAACTCCTATACTGTCCTTCACAAGATGTTGGTCTGAAATTGTAAAACTAGTGGGATTATTATTTAGTGATGCCTATCTGACTCAAAGAAGCCAGGGGCTTCTCTACGGAACTTACAGTGCCACACACACACAGTAGGATAGTGGTTCCTATCCATTCAGGCCTCTTCAAAACCCACACATCATCAGTTGCCCTCACAGCTACCAGAACGGAGAGCCAGGAGGGAAGGTTTTAACTGGGGACCAGAGAAGTTTCTTTCCAAGTCCATGACCAGAGTAGGGGCTGAACGAGGCCCCAAGGAACTCTGTTGTACTCGCTCTGTGACTCTGGACAAGTTACTTAACCTGAGACATAGGGTCACTGTCTGTAAAATGGGGGAAGTAGTACCTACCTGTAGCAAGCTGAATAAAGATGTTCACACCCTAAAAGTTAGAACCTGTGACTGTATTATTTATATGACAAAAAGGGACTTTATAGATGTGATTACATTATGGATTTTAAGATGATTATCCTGGATTGTCTAGGTGAGCTCAATGTCATCAGAGGGTCCTTATAAGAATAAGTCAGTAGAGTCAGTCAGAGAAGGCAATGGACAACAGAAACAGAAGTTGGAATGATGTGCTTTAAAGACAAGAGGAAGGAGCTTCTAAAAGCTGGATAAAGCCTAGTCTCCAAAAGGCACATAGCCCTGCCAACACCTTGATTTTAGAACTTCTAACCTCACCTCCAGAACTATGAGAAAATATGTCTGTGCCATGTCAAATTGACATGTTTGTGGCAATTTATGACAACAGCAACAAGAAACTAATATGCAACCACATCGGGTTTTTGTGAGGATTAAGTTTGTTGATGGGTAAACACTCAAAAGCACCTGGCACACAGTAAGTGCTCGAAAAGTGCTGGATAGTACAATTACTCTTGCTGGCTAGTATGATGCCTCTTTTTGTCAAATTCCTCACATGATTGCCAAACTGATCTTTCTAAAGCATGTCTCCTCACAAAGTCCCTATTTAAAAGCTTTTAGGGCCCCCCCACGGCACAGGACGGAAGCCCCTCCAGCCTCGTCTCACCTCTCCAGCCTTCTCATACTGCTCTGTGCCCAGTCACGCAGAACTACAACTTGTCCATATACTGTCTGACGTCCCCTGCTATCCTATAAGCTCCACAGAGTGAGGGCTCCGTCTTACTTCAGCAGCCTCAGCGCCCCTAATAGGTCCCAGAACACAACATAGTGCATAGTTGTCTAACATGCTGAATGAGTTGCACCCTGCATCAGGCTGAGCACACTTAGCTTGCATTCTCCTTCAATCTTTTAGGACTAGACTCCCTGCCTCCTTGCATGTCGCCCTGGGTGCCCATCAATCTGACGGCATCATAACCCTCCTTAAAAACCCTCCTACTGGGGATCCCTGGGTGGCTCAGTGGTTTAGCACCTGCCTTCAGCCCAGGGCATGATCCTGGAGTCCTGGGATCGAGTCCCACATCAGGTTTCCTGCATGGAGCCTGCTTCTCCCTCTGCCTGTGTCTCTGCCTCTCTCTCTCTCTTTCTCTGTGTCTCTCATGAATGAATGAATGAATAAATAAATAAGGTTTAAAAGAAAAAAAAAATCTCCTACTGCTCCCTACTTTAGAATAAAGCCTGAGTCCCAGGCCTCATGGCTTCTTCTGCATTTCCAAATTCTTAGTGCCTAGAAAAGCAAGCCTCCCAGCTTCTGGACCTTTCACATGCTGCCGCCTCTGCCTGAAATACCCTCCCTCAACCTCTTCACCTGGCTAACACATCCTCATCCCTCAGGCCTCTGCCTGAAGTTCCTTGAAGGTATGAATTGTTGTTTATCTCATGCCTTGCAGTATCCCTGGGACCTAGCAGCACAAGGCATCTGCTGAAGGAACATGAAGTTGTCATTAGACCATATGTGCTTCCTGACACCTGACTCGCTGATCTTAAATCCTGGATTAGCCAGGCCTGGGGGTTCTGCCTTAGTGCTCTTGGCCTTGACCCCTGCCCATCGTCCTGATCTGTACCTGTGCCAGCCCCATGGTGATTAGTCATGACTTGATCCATGGTGCACCCCCCTACCTCGGTCCCCGCCCCCAGAATGCCCAGCACTTACTTTAGCTGTCCCAAATCAGGACCTGGCACTTCTGCCAGTGGGAATGGGGAAAAACATTGTTGTGGACCACTGTTAAACAAATAAGGCAACAGGAGTTATAGGGTTATCCCTTTGGCAAGCTACTGTAGTAATCAAACATGCATACTGGTGGCATTCCCCTTCACCTGAACTCTGTCAAGATGTCCATGAAACTCTAACTTTAGATATTTCTTAAGAAAGGCATTAAAAAAAAATATGTCTGGAGACTAGGCATTAAGGGTTCTTGCAGTGCCTCCTTTTCAATACACTCACCTTCCTACCAGCTGACCGGCGGGTCTGACCCAAGCATTAGTAGGTGAGGAAATAAATTAATGTTTCACACTCCATGCAATTTTTTAAAATAAAACAATCCATAAATAAAAAATAACAGAAAATGCCAGAGTACAATAGACATTTTCACAGAATTTTTGTTTCCACTGATACTTACATTTGGGTGTTCTGGATCACAACGGGAAAAAAAAAACATATGGTCTAAAGTCAAAATTTTTGAAAACTCCCAACTTGGCAAATCCTTATTTTCTGATCCCTTTTCCTTCGTATACCAAAGTATTCTCCACGTTACTTTGCCCTGTAAGTTGCTCAATCATAGCCACAGGGGCTATAGACATCGGGGCGCTGGGAGTGACTCAGAATAAACCAGCTGGCCAAGGCCAAGAGCCTCTCCACTCCTGCACAATACGTAGGGCCGGCTTGGGGAGCTACGTGACCTCTTCTGGGGAGATCTTGAGGCTCCGCATCCCTGGCCAGGTCTGGGATTCCCACACCGCTAAATGTGCGAAGCTCCAAGATTCTCGGGCGTGGCCCACACCTGCCCCCTCAAGCCGGCCGTGTCGCACCCTCTGGCATTAAGGGCATTAAGGGTGCGCGGTCTCAGCCCTTCAGAAGCGGGTGGGGCCGTCTTGGGAGCATCGGTAACCCGTTTCCACACTTCCTGCTTACGTTCCTTCTTCCCCCACCCCAAGCCCCCTGGGCCGACCCCTCTGCGGGGCGCTGAGCGTCCTGGCCGCGGGCGGGGGTCAGCGCGCGGAGTTCCAGGGCGGCCCCGGCTGCCACGTGCGCGCTCGGCCACCTCCCGCGCTGCCGCTCTTACCCGAAAGTCGTGGGCAGTGTCTTTCACCGGCTGCACGCGGTGCCCCTGATGCCGGGGGTCGGCCTGGCACGAGCAGCACAGCAGCTCCTTGTCGTCGAGGCAGAAGAGGCTGAACGGGCCGCGGTGCGGGCGGCAGAGGCGAGGGGAGCGGGGGCCCGCCCAGCGCGCGCCCTCGGCCTCCTCGCGCAGCAGCTTCTCCACCAGGTTGTTGAGGGTGTGGTTGGTGCGCAGGTCGGCGAGGGCCGCGCGGTCCTTGCACACCGGGCAGGTGGGCGCCACCTGCACCTCCCAGCAGCGGGTCACGCACCCGCGGCAGAAGTTGTGGCCGCAGCGCAGAGTCACGGCGTCGCGGAAGGGGTCGTAGCAGACGGCGCAGAGCAGCTCCTCCTTGAAGGAGCGGGAAGGCCCGGGGGACACGGCGGGGCCCAGCTCCATCGCTGCGGTCCCCGGTTCCCAAGCCCGCAACTTTCGCTCCGGCCCCTCCCACCCGCCTGGAAGCTCCGGGACCCCGCGGTTAAGCGGAGCTCCGCCCCTTCCGCTCGGAGCGCTGAGCGACGGCGGCGCCGGCCAATCGCGCGGGGCGCGCTCTGGAGGCTCCGCCCCAGTTCCGCTCGGCGCGGGAAAGCCCGGAAGCGCGGGGTGGATCCCTGCGCTCTGCGGTCCTCGCCGGTCCCCGCCGGTCCGCGCCGGTCCCCGCCGGTCTGACCCGGTTTCGGGAGAAGGAAGCTCCCCGTTTGTGCGCTAGGGCTTCCGTGTCACCGGAAACCTGTTTCCGATTTGAAATGCGCCGTGAAGTTCTGGAGCCTCCTCTTCAACCCGCAGCCCGGGAAATTTCATGTCCGCAGGTTGGGCAAGGGCGACCCGTGCGCTTCGTGGCTGCGAAGTGGAGGCCGGGCCTTGAGGACCGGTGCCCCGCCCTTGCTTTGGTGGCTCCCTGAGCTTGGCCGTCCTGGCCCTGCCCCCTGGGGCGAGGAGCAAACAGGTGAGAGGAGCGGCCCGCGGACAGACCTCCCTCCCGGGAAACCCCGTCCCCGTCGCGGCTGCACAAGTGGGCCGCGCTCAGTCTTTTCCGAAGCCGTTTCCTAGTGAGTAAAACGGTGGTCGTGCCTCGTCTACGTGACGGGTGAGGTGAGGGTGAGGGTGAGGGGCCTGACCTGACGTAGCACCCAGCCCCCGGCGCCCCACCCCCGGCGCCCCAGCCCTTCCTGCCTCCTGTGATCTCTCCGCAGGTACCGGGCCTCCGCCCTGACGCGTCCGCGTGCCCGGAGTCTGTTGGAAGACCGTTCTCCATGTGTCATTCTTCCTTCTTTGAGCCCGGACTGCCTCTTTGTGGAGTGTCTCCCTCCAGGCAAAGATCTTTTTTTTTTTTTTTTTTTTTTTAATTCATTCATGACACACACACGGGGAGAAGCAGGCTCCATGCAGGGAGCCCGACGTGGGACTCGACCCCAGACTCCAGGATCACGCCCTGAGCCAAAGGCATTGATTGGAGATCATTCGTCCTTTTTTTTTTTTTTTTAAGATTTAATTTATTCATGGGAGACACAGATATATATACAGAGAGAGAGAGAGAGAGAGGCAGAGGGAGAAGCAGGCCCCATGCGGGGAGCCCGATGTGGGACTCGGTCCCGGGTCTCCAGGATTAGGCCCTGGGCTGAAGGCAGGCACCGAACCGCTGAGCCATCCAGGCATTCCCTCATTGGTCCTTTTTAATGCAGGCATCACAGCTATCACAGCTATAAATTTCCTTCTGAGCCCTGCTTTTGCTCTTTCCCATAAGTTCTGGTATGTTTTGTTTTTGTTTTCATTCCTCTCAAAAGTTTTTCCGTGTCAGGCTTTCTTGAGGACTTTTTCTGTCAGTTTAATTATTTTTTTAAAGATTTTATTTATTTATTCATGAGACACACACACAGAGAGAGAGAGAGAGGCAGGCTCCATGCAGGGAGCCCGACGTGGGACTCAACCGCCTGACTCCAGGATCACACCCTGGGCTGAAGGCGGCGCTAAACCGCTGAGCCACCCAGGGATCCCCTGATCTGGCCGACTTAATCCCTGTGATGAAAGAATGAGTCTCCCTGACCTTCTAATTCCTCTTGTATGAAGCAGCCTGCCATGGCCCTCATCACATCGGCTTCTGGGAATCGGGGCTCAGAAAAGTGGCCCCAAATAATTCTCGGATTGCCGTTGCCTATTAGTATCGAGCTGCTTTGTCTCGATAGACAAGCCGGGAGTCTCCCCTACCAGCATTCTTGAACCTTTGACAGGCTACGGTGTCAATTTGCAAGCAGGCCAAAATATCAGTCCTTTGACAGGTCTTGACAGTTGTCTTCCAGACTTTTCCGCAGAGCAGCCTCTCTGCCACAATGCCAGGGGGATGAACACCACCAATTGCTGCCTCCTTCAGTGTTTCTCACACCAGGTTCACGGCCCTCCTGCATTACCTGGGAGCTTTCTAAAAGCGCAGATTCGTGGGCCCACTTTGATCTACTTTTGACAAGCTCTCCAGGTGATACCCACGTACTGTAAAGCTTGCGCCGCCGCCCCCCCCCCCCAAAAAAAAGCTTGCGGCCGGTTGTTCTAGATCAAATCTGGAGTTAATAGGGACTCAAAAACTAGCTTTGGAGGCAGTGTCTGAAACGGCCACAAGATGGGGCTATTAACCCTGCACTCCAGGTACCTCCGGGGGAATCACGTTTTCTAGTTTCCTTTTCTTTCACTGGGTCCTTATCTGTGTATCCCAGTGCCCTGTCCATCTGTTTGCTATCTGTGTGTTTCATTATGTTCTTGCATGGTTTTACCTGTTTGTTTTGTCATTGTTTTTCTCACACTCTTAAGTGGGGCCGCAAATCGAAACGGGTGAAAAGTAGAAATTAGGGCTGCCCGGGTGGCTCAGCGGCTTAGCGCCGCCTTCAGTCCAGGGCCTGATCCTGAAGTCCCAGGATAGAGTCCCACGTGGGGCTCCCTGCAAGGAGCCTGCCTCTCCCTCTGCCTGTGTCTCTGTCTCTCATGAATGAATAAATAAAATCTTTTAAAAAAAAAGAGAAATTAAATAGGTTTTATTTTCTTTAAGCACAATACAAAACTTAGCATTCACTGAGAACCAATGAGGTTCTCCAGGCTTTCTGGAAATCAGAAAGGACTTGGTTCTATTCCAAGCCCCACCATGAGCTGGAGGGATGACCCAGGGCACTTTTCTGACTTCCTCTTCCTCAACCATAAAAGGAAAGGTCCAGATAAATGCTCCAGTGGCTCAGCGCAGACACTCTGAACTTTTTTATTCTTTGCATAATTTTGGTGTAAAGGGTGACTAATACTTACCCAGAGACCAGAAAAGAGAAATCTTGGTGACTATAAACAATCTGTCACCAGCTTCTGTATCTTCTTTCAGTGGAAAGGAACTTTCCCAGAGGACCTTGCGGTTCAGGTCCTCTGTTATACCTACTAAATTAATGCAAAAGTCCACTGGCTGTCCCTGACTTACCCCGTCCCATACCCCAGGCATTCTTGCTGGGCACTGCCGCTTTCCTGACCCCTGCTATAACCATGAAAATGTATGTAAGGAATGACAACTATTCTTCAAATGTGTTAGAGAAAAAAATCCCTAGGTGCAGAAAGATGGGTGAATTCTTTTTTTTTCTTTTTAAATCAGACTAGAGAGCGACTCTTGCAAATAAAAGACAGAGATTAGATTAACAAGATTAGATTTTTAAGAGAAAATCAAGACCCAATTGTATGTTGCCTAAAAGGCGCCCGCTTTAAATGTAAGCATACATATAAGTTCAAAGGATAGAAAAAGACGTACCATGTTAACAGGAGTCAAAGCTGGAGTGGCTCTGTTAATATCTGAAAAGTAGATTTCATATCAGAATATTACAGGGATAATATTATGTACAATGGTCGCTGAATGCAGCAATTGCAGAGCTGGCAATTGCAAAAACCACTTCCAGAAATAGGCAACCAGAGATGCAGACATGATTGAACTTATTCAATAGAAATACCATGGAAGTCTTTGAGGATATCACTGTAGTCTGATGCTTGATGTGGGCACCAGTGATGGCCTGGGACTTCTCTGAAGCCTGAACCCTGGGGGAAAAAAGGAAGAAAGGGGCTCTGATTTAGTTTGAATAATGCAAAGAGAACTTCTATAAGAAATAGTGTTCGTGTAAGCTATTAGGCATACAGCTAGGGTAGTAAATCACCTGCCTCTGGGTCAGATTTTGTTGAAGATTTCTTTTATTTGATCCACATATTTTTCCCCTCTGTATCATTTATCATTTATGACCTAAACTCTAACTTCTATTTTTTTGTTTCAAGTTTTTATTTAAATTCCAGTTAATGTATAGTGTAATATTGGTTTCAGGGGTAGAATGTGGTGGTTCATCACTTACATACAACACCCATTTAGCCTGTCCTCCTGCCCACCTCCCCTCCAGCAACCCTCAGTTTGTTCTCTATAGATAAGAGTCTGTTCTATGGTTTGCTTCTCTGTTTTTGCCCCCCCCCCCATGTTCACGTGTTTCGTTTCTTAAATTCTACATATGAATGAAATCATACGGCATTTGTCTTTCTCTGACTGAATCTGCTTAGCATAATACACACTGGCTCCATCTACATCATTGCAAATGGCAAACTTTCATTCTTTTTACGGCTGAGTAATAGTGGTATATATATCACTATTGATATGTATATATCAACTTCTTTATCCATTCATAATCAATGGACATTTGGTAAGCCTCAACTTTTAAAATGCAACTCAAAATGATTAAACAATAAGAGGATGGATAATCTTATATAACCGAATCTTATATAACTGAAAGTCTAGCAGTAAGAAGGCTATGTCCAACCCAAAGACAGTGAGACCCAGATTCTTTCCATCTTGAATGTCTGCCTATTGCTTCCTTTCGGTTGGAAAATTACTGCAACAGCTCCAGGCATCCTATCCTGATATCAGCCAATGTCCATAAATGGAATAGGGCCACTTCTCTCTAGTATGTCTCATTTTCAGAGCCAAGAAACCTTTTCTAAAACCCTTCAGAAAACTTCTCACATCTTGTTGGTCAGAACTGGGTCACACGCCCACCTCTGAATGCATCACTGGCAAGAAGAATATGACCACTATGGTTGCCTTGAACCAGTCAGGATTTACCTGAGTCACGGAAGTGGAGGGATGGTCACTGAGATGTATTTGAGACTTGGCTATTTATTATGAAAGAGGGGAAAATTGCCATTAGGTAGGTAACTTTAGGTTCAGGACAGTTGCAAACATTTGCAAATCAGGAGATTTCACATTAGTCAGATTTCTACCTTTGCTTTTTTTTCCCCCCAGTTAAAAAGATTTAATTGTGCTAAAAGAAACATAAAATTTACCATCCTAAACATTTCTAAATGTACAGTCCAGTAATGGTAAGTATATTTTCATTGCTCTATAATCAGTACCCATAACCTTTCATCTTGCGAAACTGAAACGCTTTACCTATTAAACAGATCTTGTCCCATCCTTCACCCAGCTCTTGGCAACCAACC